CTTTCGCGAACTTTAGAGACTCACTCCATTGATATCTGCCGCTTATCGGAGACCAGCCTGCAAGACGCGAACTCTGTGCTCGTCCTGCCATTCCCTTCAGGTGACACCAGCAGTTTGTTCTCATTGCGCCTATCCGGTGAAGATGCAGCTTCCAGCACCGGCCAAGCTGGTGTTGGCACTGCCCTGAGTCCCCGGGCTGGAGCTGCGCTAGTTGCTTGAATCCCAATCAGTAGTCGGTGGTGGGTGGTCCGATTGGCTAAATCGTGCAAGGATTCAAAGTCGCGCGGGACTACTAGGTGTCTATTCATTATCGCTGCCTACGGGCTCACGAGCTGTTGCGATGATTCGGCAAAAGAGGACTTCTACCTCCAAATGACCGAGCTCCTTCGCCACAGACGACACGCTGACACTGTTGTGCTGGCTGAGGAGCTAAACGGTCAAGTTGGAAAGTTAGCCACTGACGAACTGTATCTGAGTGGTCACCAAGGTGTAGGCTCCCGTAATGAAAACGGTGAGCGGTTTCTTCATTTGGGTGAAGATGCCTGCTTATTTCTTGCGAGCACTAAGTTCCGTCACAACACCCGCCGCAGGGTGACTTGGCGCCCACTAGCCTCGAACCGGACTCGTCTGCACGGTCTCCTGCTTCGTAACCCACCTCGGGCTTCTGAGCTCTAAATGACCTAGGCTCTGTCGACGTAACGTCTTGTAACTCGACCGAAATGTATTGTTGTCCATGATTCATCTTTATTAGTATATCCTCTTTCTTCCGTGCACGTCTATGCTGCCGATGCTCTCCTTTAGTACTTAGACGTAAATTCTAAGGCTTGCCTCCTTGAGTTGCCATGCTAACCTTGGCTCAGTGGTTTCGTTGGTTCCGACTATTTCGACCCAATGATCAGTGATATGCAGACCTATGTGCCTGCTCACATCTCCATGAGAATATCGTTGGCTTTTCCACTTCTCCTCAATAGAGCATTTTCTTTTTCGCACTTCGTCTGCATCACTTTTCATTTGAACGGAAATCTTTTCGAGCCTGGCTCTAATCTGCCCTCGGCTGACCGGTCTCCTGTTTCTGACTGCTCCCAGACATCCGAGGCGTCATCGCTCTAGGCTCTACATTCCAAACACTCTGTTCCCCTTATCCCGAGACCTTTCCTTGGTATGCTAACTGGCTTTTCATGTAGCCGCTGTCGTCCCGAATGCTTCTTTTCTTATGACACCCATTACGGTTATGCACACATTCATTTGGCGGCCCAGCTTCATCTTGCTGGCTTATCCGAACTTGTCTCAACGGCCGCCTGCTTTCTGACCCACCTCGGACTTCTGAGATCTAAAGTACCTAGGTTTTGCCGACGTAAAGCCCCGTATCCCTCACTTACAAAGCATTGTTGATCATGATACCTTTTTATTATTACATCCCCCGTTCATGCTTAACATACCTCTTTATGCGGATGGTCTCTTTTAGTATTTAGATCTAAATTATACGGCTTTCTTTCTATGAGTTGAAATTGTATTCTTGTCTTAATGATCCCCTTCCTTTGGACTACTGTGTCCCTAATGCTCAGGGATTAACAGACATAACGGCCTGTTCACATCACTCTGAGGCTAACTGCCTTTCCATTTAGCCACTATCGTCTTAAGCTGCTTCTTTTCTGATGACACTCATTACTTTCTTCGCACCTATATTTGGCGGCCTAGCTTTATCTTACTGACTTATCTGGTTTTGTCTGAACGGTCTCATATTTTCTGGCCTCTTTCGGATTTCTGATATTTAACTGCTCTAGTCACTGCAGACGCAACGCTCTGTTACCCTCACCTCTACAACATTGCTTGTCATGACTTATCTTTATTATCATGTCCCCTCTTTTCCTTAACTTGTCCACTTCCGCCGATTCTCTCTGTCAGCATTCAGAGCTTACTATTACGACTTTCTCCCCATGAACCGATATGCTAGTCTGATCTGAATGATGTCCTACCTTCCGACTGCTGTGCCCCTAATGATCAGGGATCGACAAACCCAACGGTCGGTTCACACCACCTCGGTAATATCGTTGGCTTTTCTCCTGCTCATCAATACAGCTTTTTCCTTTTCTCATTCTGTTTGCATTCCTTTTTCAATTCCTTTTCAATTCCTTTTTCAACTCTGCGGGCCTGGCACTACTCTAGCGTCGTCTGACCAGCCACCTGCTTTCAGACTACTTCCAGACATTCCAGCCGTTAGCGATCTAGGCTCTGCTATCCTAGTACTCTGTCCCCCTTATCCTGAGACCTTTCCTCGGCATGAAATTGCCTTTTCATATAGCCACTTTCGACCCGAACTGCTTCTTTTCTGATGACACTCACTACTTTATTCCCACCTTACTTTGGCGGCCTGGCTGCAGCCTGCTGACTTATCTGGTTTTGTCTGAACGGTCTCCTGTTTGCTGACCTCACTGGGACTTCTGAGATCTAATAATCTAGACGTTACCGACGGAAGCCGGGTACCCTCACCGCTAGAGCCTTGCTGGTTATGCTTAAACTTTATTCTAATGTCCCCGTTCCTCCGTAACATGTCCGTTGCTGTTGGCGTTCTCTGTCAGCCTTCAGACTTTACTAATACGACCTGCACCCTATGAGCTGACATTCTAGACACCTCTCAATGATCTCCTACCTTCCGACTTCTGTGACACTAATGATCAAGAATCGCCAGACCCAGCAATCTGTCCGCATCACCTGGTGAATATCGCTGGCTTGTCCTTTGCATCCATAGAGTCCTTTTTCCCACGTTATGTCTGAATTATCTGGTTCTGTCTGTACGGTCTCCTACCTTCCGACCTCTCTCGGGCTTCTAGGTCAAGGTCACCCTGACAGGTTGGTTCGTTTCACGGGGTTTCACGGGTTTGCGCAGAACGAGTAAGCGTAGCTTTTTGGTGGTTCTGCCTCGGGATCTTACGGCAAGGTCCTGATCTCGTCGGTAGGTACCAGATGTTGTGTGTCTCGACGCAGTAGTGGTGTTCAGCACAAGTATTCAGCGAGTGGACTGTGGGAACGTGGATACCTGGAACAAGAGAGTGGTGTAGGTAAATTCGGCAAGGTTGGATAGAAGCAAAATGATAGAAGCGCCGCGTGTTAGCTTGGCAAATGGCCAGATCTTAGCAACGTGGAAGACCAGCGAGGTAAGAGCCAAGCGTCTAGGCGCTGTTTGAAGGCCTCCGTATTGGGCGCTGAGACAACAACTTCAGGGAGGGCGTTCAAAGCGAAGGCAATACGCACACTGAAACTGTTTCTTTGGCACAGAAGGCGACTGCTACGAGTCATCAGTTTGAGTGAGTGCCCTCGAAGATGATCTGTACGGGCGCGGACCAGCACTCCTGCGTTTGGGTGCCTGTTATTAGTCAGGACGGAATAAGCTAAGATAAGGTCGCCACGAAGCCTGCGATATTTCAACGGGAAGAGGTTAAGGGCCGCCAGACGCTCCTCATACGAGAAATGGGATAGCCCGTCCACTCTCTTAGTGGCTCTGCGCTGTAGAGTTTCCAGCATGGCCTCGTCCTTCTTCAGGTACGGCGGCTGGACAAGTATGTTGTACTCCAGCAGCGGACGTACTAAAGTGCTATAGAGACGGACAAATGTCTCTCTAGGGAAAGACCCTAGTGCACGTCCAAGGAGGGCCAGGCGAACGCTAGCCTTTCGCGCCAGTTTAGCTACATTGGCGCTCGGGCTCAGGTCGGCGGATATTATGGTCCCCAGGTCGCGTTCCTGGGAGGTGGCTTTAAGATGCACACCGCCGATATTGTACGGATTAGCTCTCGACTGGTTGTATCTTTGTGGGAGTTATACATCTGGTACAGTCTACCGTCTGCCTACTAGAAATCTTTTATATATACTCTGATATTTAGCACACTTCCGCCATCTGGTATTTTCCTTGGCAATATGGTTGTACCTTATTTGTTACTTCTCCCCTTTCCATTACTATTCTCCTTCGTGGCTGACTCTCTAACTTGGTCTCAAATGCTTGTGGTAAAAAAAGGAATATCTACTAGCCGTCGTGTAAACAAAGCGAGAAAAATGGTGGGCAATACAGCGACCAACGTGACCATGCCGTGCTTCGTTAGAGTGCTGGACGTATTTTCTTCTATGCGCCGAGAAATCGCGCAGCTGCAAGAAGAGTTGGCGGGTATGAAAGTGACCTTTAACAGCTTACAGCCAATAGCTGAGCGTTTAGTGGCTATTACAAGCTTAGTTCACCCTGGCAATGTAATGGATGAAAAGTGCCTCGAGACTTCCATGCGTTTCCTCAATGCTATAAGTATTGAGGTCATGGACCGGATAAAATGCCTCACGGAGGTAGCGGTCTATAATGTACCTGACCGTTTAAATGTTCACACCATCAAGAAGGTACTGATGGATATCTGCGGTCTAAAAGGTAATTTAATCAGTTGCACCAGTCTGAGGAAAACGGCTATTAAAAACCAATGTCCCGTGCTATTCAGGTCTGATACAGAGCGTTCGGCCCGTAAATTTCTGTCATACCAAACAGACTTCCGGTCGCGCACAACCTTTGTCCAGTTAAAAGTAGTGAACGCAAAGACAGCTATACAACGCCGTTACGAAAAGCTTTCTGTATCCAAGCCTACTATTCATGAGCGGACCCCTGGAATATCTTCTGATCCTCTGCAGGATTTTGTCACCCCGGAGGCCTCTCACATAGTTGATTTAGATGTCTCAGAGGATGTAGCTCAGGGTGAGATCAAGCAAATGGTACAAAACCATTGCTCGGTGGCAGAAATGCTAAAACTGGAGGTTATGGATGCCCATGACCCCAAGCGACTTTGGGAGATAAGTAGTTGTCCTGAGAAGAAACCCGGGACTTGTTCGCCTACATCCGAGTTTCCACTCGGTTGTACAGATCATCCCAATGGGCCAGGAGGGCAAGTCGCAGAGGCATCATTCTCAAAGACGATAAACGCAGCAAGCTTCGCCTTGCCACCCGAAGTACCCCAATTTGGTCGGCGACGCAA